AGTTAAGGTGTGGGCTGGTATTTTCAATGATAGACCCGTCGGGTCATTTTTCATCGAAGGCAATTTAACAGCTCAGATATATGAAAACATGCTTCGAGAACAAATTATACCAGCCATATGGAATTTAGCAGATAGTAATTTTGATGACATTTACTTTCAACACGATGGAACTCCTCCACATTATGGAGTTAACGTTCGTCGATATTTAGATGAAATGTTCCTGACAGATGGATCGGACGTAGGGATGCCATCAAATGGCCAGCTCGATCTCCAAATCTGAATCCTCTTGATTATTTCTTTTGAGGGTACTTAAAAGGAAAGGTTTACACCACGAAATCTCAAGATTTAGATGATTTGCGGAATAGAATAACCCGTGAAATAGTCACACCAGAGAAAACTTACAGGAATTCGGTTTCAAGTTTTTATCATAGGTTGGCACATTGCCAGGCAGGCAATGGACCTCACGTTAATCAAGCACCCCAAAGGGGGCAGATTTTCACGACGTTCACGTTCGTTGTCCCTGGATAAGGCTAAGAGTGAGAGAAACCAAGAACTGTGGTTTGATAAGACTTAAATGGGAGTTTCCAAATGAAAAATTCAACTTGACTATCAAATAACCTTGAAAACCGATTTGAAGGTTATGATCAAGGTCACAAATGTGTCCCTGTCTGAGCCATATAAATTTTGTCTGAAACCATTTTCACAGTTCCGTTTTTTGTGGTGGTAATCCACGTTTTAATAGTTTGACCTTGAAAATAAGCCTTGGATGCCATTTTAATCAACAAGATCACATATCTGAACGTAAAATTTTCCGCTCTTTCTGAATCCAGGGCAGAAAATAGTGGTTCCTGTTTAAAAACTGCAAGTTGACTTTCAAGTGACCTTCAAGGTCGAGGTCAAGGTCAAATTTGAGGTCACAGAAAATAGTACTTTATGAACTCTAAAACTTTCGTTCGAGTCATTTTTTCTTATAATGCATAGATTCTGAGATAGGGGGGGGGGGGGCGTCCGTTACTTTTGGAAAACTCTGTATGTATGTTACATGTGTATATTATTGATAAGTTGATAAGAATATTACTACATAATGACTATAATAAGCTACTGCATATCTGAGCAAAAAAGAAACTTCAATGTAGTAGGAAAGGATAAAAAGCGTCCTTGACAGAATATAAAAATTTTAGCAATTTTTGGCTAGAAAAGAAGACAGTTCTTCCCGGAGGAAGACATCTGGTAACCTTAATAAGTCAGATTTTTATAATTAATAACTTGATAATTATTGCGAATATTGCAGAACGATATGAAGTGGACTTTTATGTTTGTTTTAATTTGTCCTGTGTTTTCACAAATTCTTCATAGTTATAGAACACCTTTGTGTCAGTCTGTTTGATAAGAGCGTATCCGGCAGAATTTGATAAACAATTTATTATAATGATTTAGAACAAAATACGCACATATTACTTAATTAGAACTGTAATGCTTTATTATTAATAACTTTAGTCATTTTCATTATTAATAATTGCTTGGCATCTCCAAAGTACTTTCAACCAATTTTGTGACATATTCTTGAAGTAAAGATTTTTAGATTCATTTGATTTATCGAACTAATCTCTTTAACTTTTAAAATTTTCTTTTGCTGAAGCTTAAGCTTCATTTCAGGTTCAAACGTTTTTGATGGAATTTGCATCCGATGATTACGACGGCCGATCCAGTAATTCAATGTCATTTTCTTATTTCCATACGGTACAAAAATAACTTTGATATTTAGAGTTATTGCTTTATGCAACAGTATCCATTTTCCGTTTTTCTTCATAAACCATTTTTAGGCAGATGCCTAATAGTAAAGCCTTTTTATAAATTTTGACTATTTTGGCAATGTATAAATTGTCTGTGAAGATATACAAAGTTCCAAATCTTTGCTTTAAACAGCAGTCCTAAACGTGCATTTTTACTGGATGTTTAAAGGTCTGCTGGACGAGTTTCTTAATATATGTAATAGGAGTATACCAGATTTGAGTGATAGAAATATTTGCTCAAGAGGAAGTTTCGTCGGAAAAAAATTATATTGTTCCACTCGCAGTGCATATTTTTTTTGTGTTCTTGATGTTTCTTTTCTGTGCTTCGATATTTCACATTGTGAGTATGTAGTCGTTTTTTATTGTATCACATGATATATTTAGATCTTTTTTCTTCAATTTCCGCTTTATAACGGAAAATGGTATTGTTTGCAAACATCCGTGAAATCAGTTTATTTTTTGTCAATCGTTTTGTGCATAGAATCATATTCCGGTATGTCATTGACGTTTTTCATCTCTAAATAACGATTCACTCATTTATTTATTGATGTCTTTCTCATATACTTAGCAGCCACTTAACGCGACATTTTCAGTTCTTTTGGATATATACAGGGAAACACAGTTTTTAAATCGTGAAGGTGATTCGTAGAATAGGCGACTTTATTCGTTCTCTACATGCTGATGAAATTCTTCGTGCAACAAATAATGTCGAGATAAGAGTATTTGCTTACGTTGTTTATGTTGAAGCAAATGGTAAATATTTTGAATATAAGACCTAATCACATCAGCTACATACACACACACGCAAACATACACACACACACACGCACACGCGCACGCACGCACATGCACGCACACGCACGCCCATGCACGCGCACACACGCACGCAACGTACGCGCACGCGCGCACACACAGCAGAGAGGATTTGGAGTCGATAAATACTACGGGAATGACGAACCGTGGGGTCCTCATCTCTGCTGTGATACACACGCACGCATATACACGCACAACAGAGATGTAAATCCGACCATGCAACCTTCACGCGATATACGTGGTATATCCAGAAAGTAAGAATACAAGGGCTGTGTAAGACGTAGGGATTTTTTTGTTGCAAAGTTGGCACCCATGAAGTGTAGAGGGATTCGTAACGGTCAAAATAAGCCGTCGAGCGCCTCAGTCAGTTACGAAATGTCATCGCAGCAGCCTAATACGTCTACCAGTGCGTCCTCCGTTCGCTCCACCTACAACAGGTGTGAGATTCGTTCAGTCATTCGGTTCCTCACTTTGCGTAACGAATCGGCGGCCAGTATCCATCGCCAGCTCGTGGAAACTTACGGATCCGAAGTAATGAATCGTCAGAATGTTACTAAGTGGGTTAGGTTGTTTAACGAAGGCCGTACCAACACTCACGACGAAGAAAGGAATGTGAGACCGCCTGTCATTTCAGAAGAGCTTGTGCAGTAGGTTGAAGAAAAAGTTCGCGATGATCATCGTGTGACTCTTGACACTCTTAAAGAAAGTTTTCCACACGTTTCACGAAGTCTCCTGGGTGAAATCGTGTCAGAAAGACTTGGGTTTAAGAAGTTGTGTGCACAGTGGTTGTCAAAAATGTTGGCTCCGGAACATCGCAAAAATCACGTTTCGGCTGCACGCGAATTCCTGGAACGTTTTCAAACTGGTGAATCCTTTCTCGACTCAATTGTGACTGGGAACGAAACGTGAGTATGTCACTATACTCCTGAGTCAAAAAGGTAGCCTCTGCAGTGGCGTCATACCCATTCTCCATCCTCCAAAAGATTCAAAGTTTAATCTTCAGAGAGGAAAATCATGGCGTCCGTGTTTTGGGACCGGAAAGGGCTCTTGTTGGTCGATTTCATGCCCAATGGGACCACCATCAATGTTGCTGCATATTGTGAGACCTTAAAGAAGTTGAGAAAAAAAATCAAAGACAAAAAGAGGGGAATGCTGACTCGTGGTCCCTCCCTTAGGATAACGCCAAACCTCATACCGCCCGGCTCAAGACCTGCTCGTGTCGTTTGGATGGGACATTGTGACTCACCTACCCTACTCCCCTGACCTGACATCCTTGGATTATCATTTTTCCAATAAATTGAAGGAGTTCTTGGGTGGACAGCGCTTTTCGAACGATGAGGTCATGCAGACTGTGACAAAGTGGCTTCAGGAGATGGAGCGAATGGTATACAACGAGGGTATACAAAAGCCTGGTGCCCAGGCTTCAAAAGTGCATTGACCTCAACGGCGATTATGTGGAGAAATAATAACATATTTTGACACATACCATGTAAATTTCAATAAAATATTTTCATTTTTCGATTTTAAACAATTGTTGTATTTTTACTTTCTGGATGTACCTTGTATCTTGGGTAATGCTAATGCCAGTGGTACTCAGAGAAGTTCCATTAAAAAAACTGAAGGTAACCTTCACGTAACCTTGAAAACGTTATTCAAGGTCATACTAATACCACTATCTGATGCGTCATTTAAAACTCTACAATTTTTGTCTGAAACATTTTTCTCTAAAATGGCGCGTTTACAAAAAAATCGGGTGACCCGGGTGGCCTGAAATATATTTATATAAGGCCCCATATATTTATATAAGAGAGACTTTTTTATTCTACTTGGTTTTAAAAATATACTGTTACGATAGTAACAGTAACCTATCACTTTTACTTTTGTTAATTTGATGACCTTTGAAAATTTCAAAATCAAAGGTTAGGGCGCTATTGTAATAATATATTCTTGAGACCAAATGGAGTAAAAATGTCTAGTATCATTTTTCTTCTAACAAATAGTTACAGAGATATAAGTTAAATCTTGAAGAAGTTACCAAATTCTCTTTAAATATCTTAAAAAATATCAAGTAAATAAGAAAATGTTTGAGACACAAGTTGTTCATTAATTGGTAGAAAAAGATATAAATAGAATATAATGAAAAATCGGGATTTCCGTTTAAAAAAGTGATGATCAGTGAATATCTCAAAAGTAGTGCCATCTGTAAACAAAATGATATCACTATCCTCTTAAAATCAAACTTCTGCTTAAAACATTTTTTCATCCGACCACTTTTTGCGATGTAATCGGGGTACATATTTAAAATAAGACCTGTATATGTACCTGTATATGTAATATGTTTTAATTATTTCATAATATTGTAACTGTAAATATTGTAATTTATTTTATTTATAGGAAATCATACATTTGATCGAGAGAAGGACGGAGGACGTTTTTATTGTACACAACATTTTGGATTATTGGGAACTATAAAAACTAAAGTGGAAAAGAAAAACAATCCAGTGAAAAAAGGAAATGAATCTAATGTTGCAATTACCTCGATAGTATCAGAAAAGGTATAATTTTGCATAATGCCTAATGGTAGAATGTTAATGCGTCGAATGGAATAGAAATAGAACGTATAATTTCCATTAGGAGGATAGTATCGTATTATGCACAATTTTGAAACGACACGATATTCTCTTTGAAATCGTTACTAATGGAAGAATTGTCAGAAGTGTTTTTCGTTGATTCTGATATTTTTAACTATATTATGGAACAAAAAAATACTATATTCAGTTTTCTATATCCTATTTGCTTAGTTAACCTAATAGCCAAATCTGTACGAAACAGATTTTGCTAGACGCCTCCTGCAGGAGTTGATGACAAACTGATGTCAAAATTAATACAGATTCTGCAATATCAGATGATGCCAGCAGCATTGAGACAAACTCTGTTACAGAGGTTTGATATCAGGTTGACGTCAATATTTGAACAGATTCTGTTAAGCAGCCTAACGGCAGATTGACGACAGAAAGGACATCCTGCCGTGCGCAGTCTAACGGCAGATTGGCGGCAGAATTCAAATAAACGCGGTTTAATACTATGACGGCAGATTGGCGGCAGAAATGCAGCAGAATCTGCTGTGCGCAGTCTGGCACCAGAATGACGGCAGAAACGTAACAGATCCTGCTGTTCACAGCCTGACAGCAGACTGGTGACAGAAATACAACAGATTCTGCCATATTCATTTTTACATCTCCTCTCCCCCTTTCCCATTCAGTCATGCACATTATGTGAAAGTAATTATTAAAAACAACACAATATACGAACGTAATTGTTTTTATTTATCACACAAGACAAAACGAGACAGCCAATCAGATTCACAATGGTGTTTACGACGATGTTTTTTCTGATAGCCTCAGGAAGTGGCGACACACGATGACTTCGAGACGATGTTGGAGTAATTGATAATAGGGTTTGTGAACGGTGAAGTGGCAATCTGCTACGATATCTGTAAATTGAAATTATATTATAGTTGCATCTTTCTAACTACAGTTATGTATCATATATGTTTAAGTAAATACATGAATTAAAAGTTACATTGTATTAATGTCTCAATTTCCCACAGTAAATATAATACACATGTCATATTCATAGTGACATAGCAAGTTGTAGCATCGATACATTGTAACTCTTAGTAATTGCTGCGATGAAACAGGAAAATCAGAGAAATCTGGATAAAAATATTTACCTGTATCTCTTGCGTTCTTCGATAATGGATTCGTCGATTCTCCGTGACATCTGTGATGACCTAAACATGTAAAATGTCCAGGAGACGCCGTAAATTCCACACAGAGTACCAGTTGTCCATGCCGAGAAGTCGAAATTATTTGCCCGTTTCAACCGATTTTTTAAAGCTACGCCTATTTCTCTTGTCTCTCCGTTCGTCCAAAGGTTCCTACAAGTGACGGTCACGCCGCCCAGGTATAAGCTGTCATGTATCATTTGCAGGAATCTTCGGAAAGAAAAAAGAAGAGAAGTAGGCGTAACCTTAAAAAATCGGCTAAATCGGGCAAATAATTTCGACTTCTGGGCATAGACAACTGGTACTCTGTATCGAATTTATGGTGTCTCCTAGATATTTTACATGTTTAGGTCATCACAGATGTCATGAAGAATCGACGAATCCATTACCGAAGAACGCAAGAGACACAGGTAAATATTTTTATCCAGATTTCTCTGATTTTCCTGTCTCATCCTAGCAATTACTAAGAGTTACAATATATCGATGCTACAATTTGCTATGTCACTATGAATATGACATGTGTATTGTATTTACTGTGGGAAATTGAGACATTAATACAATGTAACTTTTAATTCATGTATTTACTTAAACATATATGATACATAACTGTAGTTAGAAAGATGCAACTATAACATAATTTCAATTTACAGATATCGCAGCAGATTACCACTTCACCGTTCACAAATCCTATTATCAGTTACTCCAACATCGTCTCGAAATCATCGTGTGTCGCCGCTTCCTGAGGCTATCAGAAAAAACATCGTCGCCTTCATGTTCCGCCACTTACGGTAAACACCATTGTGAGTCTGATTGGCTGTCTCGTTTTGTCTTGTGTGATAAATAAAAACAATTACATTCGTATATTGTGTTGTTTTTTAATAATTACTTTCACGTAATGTGCATGACTGAATGGGAAAGGGGGAGAGGGGATGTAAAAATGAATATGGCAGAATCTGTTGTATTTCTGTCACCAGTTTACTGTCAGGCTGTGAATGGCAGGATCTGTTATGTTTCTGCTGTCATTCTGATGCCAGGCTGCACACAGCAGATTCTGTTGTATTTCTGCCGTCAATCTGCCGCCAGACTGTGTACGTCAGGATCTGTTACGTTTCTGCTGTCATACTGGTGCCAGACTACGCACTGCAGAATCTATTGTATTTCTGTTGTCAATCTGCCGCCAGACGGCGTACGTCAGGATCTGATATGTTTTTGCCGCCAATCTGTCACTAGACTGTGTACGTCAGGATCTGCTTTGTTTCTGGCATCAGTCTGTTGTCAAATAATGTTGCCAGACTCTGTCGTCAGAATGCGGGCACAATGGATAAACAGTTGGCACCAATCTGCTGTAAACCTCTGATTCATTATGCTGTTAGTCTGCCGTCAGTCTGCTGAAATATTGCTGTTAGGGTGTTCTCAAGAAACACTCATATGAAAGAAAAATCCTCCGGAGAATTAATATTTTCAAAGATTTCTGCTAAGATACGATCACGCGGTCAGATATCTTTCATGTAATCGTGCCCATAGAGTTCGTACTATATACTGTACTGCATTGTACGCGCTGGTTTGTTAATTCTTTTTTATTATTAATTTAAAATTTTAGGTGATTGTAAAATGATAGTAAGGATATTATTTAGCTTGGTATGTTCTATATGTACACGGATGTTAATTTGACTTACATCAATTACTCTGTATGATGCAATATGTAAAGCAAGCAGTTATTAAGTCCTATATTGTGCAAAACAAGTAATGTGGTACATATTTTTAAAACGATACTCATAGCACGTTAGTGTCTTCTTTCTCCAAAATAAAAATATTATTATTGTATACAGGGTGCACGATTTATCTGAAGACATTGAAATATCTCGAGAACTATGCATTGGATAAAAAAAAGTGGTTAATGAAAGTTGTTAGTCTCGAAGGGGGACATCCAATGATATCAAACTCGACCTCCCACTCCACCCCCTGGGGGTGGGGGCAACTTTGAAATGTTAAATGGAAACCCCCATTTTTTATTGCAGATACGGATTTTACGCCACAAAATACGTAAATTTTGTCCGAAACTTTTTTTTTATTCGTGATAGATGGCACTGTAATCGCAAAAAATTATATTTTCCGCAATTCTCCAGAAATGATCATTGGATTGAGAAATAAAAAATACCTGTTCAATATTTTTAAAGAACATAATAAAAGTTATTCCCCCCATCCTCTCGGGGTAGGGTGGGTGATAACGTTCAAATCTCAAATGGGAACCCACATTTTTCATTGCAGAATTAGATTGTACGTGAAATTTTTATTGAAACAATTTTTTTCATTCGTAATAGATAGCATTGCACTGCCTTTTATAATAAGCCGTAGTTCGCCATACACCCACAGTGGCGCGTCGAGCAGTTCCCTCTTCGATTCGGGTTCCCATTTGAGATTTGAACGTTACCACCCACCCTACCCTGAGAGGATGGGGGGGAATAACTTTTATTATGTTCTTTAAAAATATTGAACAGGTATTTTTTATTTCTCAATCCAATGATCATTTCTGGAGAATTGCGGAAAATATAATTTTTTGCGATTACAGTGCCATCTATCACGAATAAAAAAAAAGTTTCGGACAAAATTTACGTATTTTGAGGCGTAGAATCCGTATCTGCAATAAAAAATGGGGGTTTCCATTTAACATTTCAAAGTTGCCCCAACCCCCACCCCCAGGGGGTGGGGTGGGAGGTCGAATTTGGTATCATTGGATGTCCCCTTCGAGACTAACAACTTTCATTAACCACTTTTTTTTATCCAATGCATAGTTCTCGAGATATTTCAATGTCTTCAGATAAATCGTGCACCCTGTATAAATAGATTTCATATTTGATGCTTTTTATTTGTTATTTGTACAAAAATTTTAGAATTCACAAAAAGATATAAGTGGAAGTGAAGATAAATTAAAAAGAAATTAATAGTTTTGAAATATTTCTTGAATATACAAGGTGTCCCAGAACAATTATTACCGAGCTCGTACTTTGAAAGTTAAAAGACGGTATATTTGTGCATATGAAAACACATATGCATGTTTTCAGGCCAAAACATCAATAGAAGGCGTTGCTAGCTTAGATCTCCTTGATCGTGGACAGACTCCGGAAAGAATAGAATTTGAAAATTTAGCGGTAATTTTAGATCCTGAGGAAGCTCACAGCCAGATGGATGAAGACGAATGGACAGATAGAAATTTTGGTGCGTCTACCGCTGAAATGGGATCTAGTGAAGATATATCTGACATGAGGTAAGTTATATTTTATCTACTATCTCTCTCTCTCTCTCTCTCTCTCTCTCTCTCTCTCTCTCTCTCTCTCTCTCTCTCTCTCTCTCTCTCTCTCTCCCCCCCCTCTCCCCCCTCTCCCTCTCTCTTACTCTCTCTCTCTCACTCCCCCTCTCTCTCTCTCTCTCTCTCTCTCTCTCTCGCCCTCTCGCTCTCTCGCCCTCTCGCCATCTCGCCCTCTCGCCATCTCGCCCTCTCGCTCTCTTGCCTTCTCGCTCTCTTGCCCTCTCGCCCTCTCACTCTCTCGCCCTCTCGCCATCTCGCCCTCTCGCTCTCTCGCCTTCTCGCTCTCTCGCCTTCTCGCTCTCTCGTCCTCTCGCTCTCTCGCTACCTCGCCCTCTCGCTCCCGCTCTCTCGCTCTCTCGCCCTTTCGTTCCCGCTCTCTCGCTCTCTCGCCCTTTCGTTCCCGCTCTCTCGCCCTCTCGTTCCCCCTCTCGCTCTCTCACTTTCGTTCCCTCACTCTCGCTCTCTCTCTCTCGCTCTCTCTCTCTCGCTCTCTCACTCTCGCTCTCTCACTCTCACTCTCTCACTCTCGCTCTCTCGCTCTCCCTCTCCCTCTCGCTCTTCCTCTCGCTCTCCCTCTCGCTCTCCCTCTCGCTCTTCCTCTCGCTCCCCCTCTTGCTCTCCCTCTTGCTCCACCTCTCGCTCTCCCCCTCGCTTTCCCTCTCTCCCTCTCTCCCTCCCTGTTAAAGATATTTTATATTTCTTCTATTTTGTAGTGATTCTGACGAGGATAATGAAGTGTTTGAAGAAGCTATAGATCAACCGATAACAACTGAAGGAACTCTCGAATTAGCTAAGAATTGGACGTTACGTTACTCCCAATCGCACGCTACAATCGAACAATCTGACACTGGAAGCAACGAATATGAAGAGTCTAGTGACGAATATGCTAGTGAAGGTATGATTTTATTAATTAAGAATGCGTAAGTCATTTAATTTCCAATTTTCTCATCAATATTTGCATATATGAATATATGCGTCAATGCTTCGTAAATTTTAGTTCTTAAAAACTTTACTATACATATAAACATTAGTAACATACAAAGTAGTTTACATACAAAGTAGTAAACATACAAAAAATAGTATAAATATCAATATTAGTAGCGATCTTAGGCGCGTGGCGAATTCAATGACTTTGACATATGTTGTCAAGATCATTGAGCAAGAGTTTTAGCCCTCACTCATTATTTATTAAGAAAGCTATTAACAAAAGGAGAAGAGATAGAACCTATTTATCCAACACAGTGTACATTGAAAAATGTTAATTAACACATATAAGGAGGTGAAGAGCGGAGTACTCCTCTCTGCTTCTCAAAATAAATCTTTTTTTGTTAATGTGGGGGAAATCTTCATTAATCTCCTCAGCCTTCGAGGAGAAATTAAGGAATATATTAGACTTCTATCAGTTAAAAGTTTCTTAGATGGTCTTTGTTGGACTTCCTACAGGGGGGCGTTTCCGGAACTACAACGTACTACATCGAAGACGCCATCCCTCTTTACCGGTCCGTACATATTTCGCTTCCATCTAAGTGCGGTTATCCCGGCGGAGTCAACTACTAGGCTGACTCAACTGCACTCTTTGTTATACAGGGTACAATAATTAGCTGTCAACCCGAAGTTTGAAGGTAGATTGGGTTAAGACAAACATAAAAGTCCCATATTGTTTTGCGAGATTCGCAATAATTATCGAGTTATTAATGACAAAAATCTGAGGAGTAGGAGGGCGCCGACACATATGATTGGAGAAGCGTTGAAGCTGCTTAGGCCACAGCGCGGCCCAGTCAATCCAAAAACTGTTGCCGGTGTGCGGCGAGGGGAAAGACAACGCGTCGCTATTCGTTGTTTTATCTCGCTGCTACGTCTCGTCACACGTCTCCAACAGTTGCTGGGTCGACTGGGCCGCGCTATAATCCGAGAGGCTGTGACGTTTCTCCAATTATCCATCTCAGCGCGCACTCATTCGTCAGATTTCTGTCATTAATAACTCGATAATTAACTGCGATTCTTGCAAACTTGTATTTTATTTTTCTTTTCAGCTTAACCCAATCTACCTTCACCCTTCGGGTTGGCAGCTAATTACCGGACACCCTATATATGACAAGGAGAGACCCCGCTGTCATTTCCTCTTGGACAAATTAGGAATCGTAGTTAGTTTCCACACTTGAATTAAGCTCTATTCCCCCTCATTGCCCGAGGAAGGGGGAGAAGTGGATCATAACCAGTGAGCCGTTTTCCTCCGAATAAGAAAATGCGAGGTGAGGAGTCTCTCCCTTCCTCGGGGATGAAATCCCTTTTCATACTTTGATGGGCGGAACGCTATGATCCACTCTTCCTGCTCTACTTTTTCCTTCCTTTGTGTGTAAAGGAGGAGGTTAAACCTTTGGGTCGTTCCAGTTCTTTCCCCTATATATAATCTCTCCGATACTGAGGGAGCGAAAGGATGTCACCGACTACTTCGCAGTATACTTAAGATAGGCGACTCGTCTCCCTTCTACCCTATCCTCCTCCTTTTCCTTCTCGAATACTCCAATATCTTGTGCTCTGACGACTTAGCGAAGGTTTTTCGTCTTCTTCTTCACTGACATGAATGTTTCGCAGAAGGAGAAGAATGCCGCTCATCTCTCATTGCTCCCCACTTTAGATTTCACTACAGCGAAGAGCAATAATTCTTTTCTCATTCTGTCGATCAAAGTTCTGTGCTTTTCTCCGGGCTTTCCACGCTGGACACTCTTCCAACGTGTTGTGTAAATCACTTACGCCTTCAAACTGTAGAGCTTAGGAAACGTTCGCGATCATCGATTGTTTAAGTATATGATTGTTGCACAGCGCTCAATTACAGTGAGTAGATTACAGAATTATTTTAGAATAAAGTTTATCTGCTTTGTAATTTCAATTACTTATTCATGTATCCATACATAATATTCTCCGAAACATCCGTGCCCGGAGAGCATTCATGTCGCACGGAATGTCAGTTCATTTAGACTCCTGTCTCATTTCAGCAAACAGAGATGGTTGTGACAGTCTTTCTCCTGAGTGGCTGCTCCGCTAAATAGCAGTGCCATTTTTCGAGGAGGAGCTGCCGGGTCTAATGTTTCATTCCAATTAATGTTCTAGTTAAGATGTCAGTCCTTATTTGGAGGAATTTTCTTGTTTGCTAATACACGGTACATCGCGTACTGGCAAGTAGCTCTATTTGAGTATCACCGCCAGGATCATGGTCGCTACATGGGAGACTATCTTACATAAACCCTGGCCGCTTTGATGGCCAGATTATGTTGCTCTTGACGTATCAATGTCCTAATGTGCCTGCCGGTTTATATCGGGCCGAAGCTCGGCTATTTTATCCGTCTATCAGCAGGCATGCTTACGAAAGCAGAACCTGAACATACAGTGGCGTGCAAAAGTTTCGAGCCATAGTGTCTTTTTAAGATACATGATAATATATTGATTTGCTCAAAAATTAATTATATAAAATAGTTGACATAACATTCTTACAAATAATAGTACAGTTACAAACTTTTGAAATTATATAGTTTCTAATTATTTAGTCATATGATATTTACATGTGTTCAAAAGCATTGAGCCGTATTCTTGTTGTGACTTTATGAGCCCGGTTTGTTTACGTTTCTTATGAAATTTCTTCGTAAATATTTGCTTTAACTAAGGTTCAATCTATTGTCTACCACAATGTCGAAACATACAAGCCTTCAGTTACGCGAAGCCGTGATTAATCTTTTTCAACAAGAAAAGGTTTCTCGCGAAATTGCTAATTGTTTATTAATTGATAAAACTACTGTAAATAGGATTATTGCTAAATATAAGTTAACGAACTCTCTAGCTGATAAATCACGAAACGGTATACCTCGCAAAACTACAAAGCGCGTCGATAAAATGATTAAAAGAAAGTCGATAGCAGATGCTAGAAAAACTGCCATGGATATTTCTCGAGAACTACTCGAAAACTTCTCGAGAAGAAAATCTTGTTGATATTAGTCGAAGTACAATATCTTGACGTCTAAAGGAAATAGAACTTTTAGGACGTGCTGGTGTAAAAAAAATTAATTAATTAATTAATAAGTTAATTAATTAATTAATTAATTAATTAATAAAAAATGCATTAATTAATGCAAAAAATAAGAAAGCTCGATTAGGTTTTGCAAGAAAATTTGAACATTGGACTGAAGTTGATTGGCAAAAAGTACTTTTTTCTGACGAATCAAAGTTTCAGTTATTCGAAAGTGACGGTAGAAAGTATATACGACGTCCAACAGGCACAAGATATAACTTAAGATACCAAATTCCTACCGTAAAACATGGTGGAGGTAACGTGATGGTTTGCGGATCACTTTCTTATAATGGAGTTGGTCCATTGGTTGAGATCACGGGTACTATGGACGCTATAATACCAGGTCTGTAAATATGAAACCGGAATTTGACCATAGATGCCCCTAACTGTCAATGTAGTTACCGTCAAACCGCGTCATTGGCACCATTTCCATTTGTTGACATCTGATAAAGATTTTCAACTCACAATACAAGTTTCATACAATAGCATAGTTTGTAATAGCGTTGAACATGTCGAATTTTGTGCCTGGAAGCTACGATTTGCGGACAGCATTGATTTTCTGTTACCATTTGAAAAAAACTGCTGCAGAATCGCATCGAATGCTTGTCGAAGCTTACGGTGAACATGCTCTTGGTAAATCACAGTGTTTTGAGTGGTTTAAAAAATTCAAACGTGGCGATTTTGACGTGAGAAACGAAGAACGTGGAAGTGTTACGTCCTGGAGGAGGAACGCAACTTGACGCTTGCTTTCGCAAGCTCCGACGTACTCGCAAATCTGCGGAACAGATCAAGGATCGGAATGATCCCTTTATCTGGTGCAGACGTACGTCGGTGGTCCTTTATTTAGGTCAAGGAACTGAATCCTTTTACCTGGGATAGGACCGTGAGCGGCAGTTGAGGGAAGGGAGAATTTTTGGTTGAGAATAATTATTTGGAAAACGTGATTGGTTTACAATTACAAACAACTTGTTTTATTAGTGATTAGACGGAAGTTCACAATGAAATAAAATTTGTAAGATTTTATAATGTACGTATACATATATATATATATAGATCATTCTACTGGATTTCCTATAGCTATGTCCTATCTGTTGTTTCTTTAATCAATCTTTCTTTAATCAATAAAACCTCCTGCTGTGCCATTCTCTCCTTATGTTTTCCAATTCACATGGGTCTTTCTCTCGGACTATATTTTCTTTTTCTTATTTGTTACGTCCTGGAGGAGGAGCGCAACTTTTCCGTTCGCAGGAAAGACGAACCTCGTTCGTACACGCATGCCAGGGAACGGATCAGAAACCCGACGGGTCCCTTTACTCGGTCACTGACGTACGACGAGCGGTCCGTTTTTCGGTCAAGGACGCGAATCCCTTTACCGGGGATTGGACCATGAGTCAACTGTTGGAAGGTGGAGTGATTTTGAAGTTAATTGATTGGAAATAGATTATTAACAAATTTATTAAAATAAAAATAACAACAAAATGATACAACGGCGCTATTGAGGAATTGACGATTTTCAGCTACGCGAATGGTTGTATGTGTATGTGTGTGTGTGTGTGTGAGAAATAGGAGAACAAAGGAATAGAAAAAGAACAAAAAGAAATAATAAAATAAAAGGGGAAGGAATACAAATAGAGGATTAGTCGGGTGAGGAGGAACGTGAATAGTCAAGTGAATTTAGGGGAGTGGATAGTTCAGAGAAAGAAACAAGGGAATAAGATATTGAAGGGGTAGAAGGAGTGTACGCGCGTGTAGGAGAAGAGGAAGGAGCAAGGGGTAAACATTGAGGGAGTAGGAAAGGGGGTAGGAGTATCGGGTCTGGGTGATAATCAATT